TTACCTACTCATTTTAAGTCAGGGGTGCAGAACCTCAGGCCCAGGGACCAAATCGTGCTCCCTGGGATTTCCCAGATGGCCATGCCCCTTCTCTTTGCTCTGTTTCCCCCAAGCCCTGATCGTTTGCTGGTTTTGCAGCTTTTTGGACTTTCCCCCATTCTAAGAGGTCACTATGCCTCTCCTAAGGGTTACTGGCAGAGAGTAACTAAGTGCCACTTACTGGCAGTGAGTAACTTAAAGCTCTCTGCATTGAAGAACGAAGCTTCTTGCTTCGGAATGTGATAGAAGCATCCCATGCTGTGTGCCTCCGAATCCAGGCTGACACTGCCTACCTACAGGCACCTAGTTTCACTTAGCATTCTACGCTTTGCTAGGGACCAGCTGTGCAGGAGAATGGGGCACACAGAAACACGGAGACACTGGACCGGCTCCATCTCATTCTTTTTACGAGCACATCACAAGCAGGAAAGGTCAGAGAAGCAAAAGAATATCTCCACCTTTGTCAACAAACTCCACAAAACTGGCAAGTTTACAGGGCATTTTTAGGAGAAGTTCTGGAAGCTGCCTGATTCGAAGTCAGGGGACTATAGCTCAGGGTTATCTACAGCAGGGTAGGAGACTGGACTGCAGCTCTGACCATCCCCAGCCACAGGCGATACTGGATGGGGTAAATGGGAGCTGGAGTTCAATACCATCTGGAAGCCCACAGGTTTTCCATGGCTGGTCTATGCTAACTGGCAGTAATTCAGGGGTTCCCAGCAGGGACCATTCCATGCTTTGCCCGGAGATGCTGGAAATCAAATCTGTGGCTTTCTGCATGCAAATCAGGGGTTACATGCCACGGAGTTACAGCCCGTCCACTAACATGACCCCATAGGAAGTGCATATGCTATAATCTTTGTAACATTAATCACTGTCTTTCCAAAAATGCTTCTCTAGAGAGATTCATATGGAGATGATTTACAATAAGCAAATGGGGAATGGCTGCTTAGTAGTCTGATACTAATTCTAATGTATACAATATGGAAGTGCCAGTGTTCACAGGCAAACATTCCTGGCATGGGAATGAGGCTTGAGGGAGGCAAAATGTTTCCCAGAAGTGTCCCAAAAGCATTTTGTGTGTTTGTGTGTGTACAAGCCTGCATGAATGTATGTGTTTACTGTCCTTTGGGGTGGCCTGTTTTGGTACTGTTTTTTGCCTTCCACTGGGCTGCTGCTTCTTCACAATGTGATCCCAGGCAACTATGAGATATTATGTTAATCTGCCAAATAATCAAAGCAGATTTGACATGGGTGACAACAACACTGAGGGAAAACATAGCCAATGCAGAGTGAGGGCAATACTTGTCATATGGAACAGGAAACACAAGAAAAGGAATTTGTGGCTGCTGCCTCTGAGGTAAGCTGGAAGAAACCTCAGTGCTCAGTTTATAGGCTTTCCCCCAAGATCTCCAAAATGCGTTCCCTTTTTTCCTACATGCACAGAGGGCTATAAAATCTGAGAAATGGCTCAGTAATGTATCTATCTTCAAGAAAACCAAGTCCAGTCTTTCTTTAGTTGCAACATTCCACAGTATCTGTGAGGCCTGAGCCATGGAGTGCCCAGTGACTGGGTGTGGGTAAAACCTGGAGGAAGGGGTAGTTTAGTAGGGTCTCATGAACAGGAGCTCTCTACAGCAACATTTTGTTGCAGATTTCATTCGTTGCTTTAGATTTAGGGGATCTTTCAGCACAGGAGTGCAAAATTTCCTTCAGTCTGAAGGCCAATCCCATTTGGGAGAAGCTCTTGGAAGCTGCATCCCATTGATGGGAGAGGTCAAAAATGCCATCTTATCTAGTTTAACAGATGTTACTACCAAGAATTAAGTCTTAGGAAGAGGATATAAACATTTCAGAATAGAAAAAAACTGTAGAAAAGCCAGAAAGTGACAAAATTATCAGTGCTCAAGAGAAAGCGGGTATGGCTATGAGGAGGGCATGGATGGCCAGGATCTCTGGGGTAGGGGGAACACTGGATATCGCCTCCAAATGGCCAGATTTGGGCCAATGGTCTGATGTTCTCTTCCTCTGCTCCAGCAGTTCTCTTCCCCTGTACTTCAATTCCTCTGGTTTGCCTTGCCCTTCTCCTCCCATCACCACAATATACATATAACCTTGCTCTCCACTCTTTGGTTCCAAAAAGGCATCTGATTTCTTGGTGCTCAGGAACAAGATAATGATCAATGACAGTTGCATTCAACCAAGAGATCATTTTGGTCTTGTAGAGTTGGGGGCGGCAGGGAAAATAGCGACAGGTTTAGAGCAGCCAGCCAGCCGTGAGCGTATGTGTAATCAGAACAATCATCATAGCTGGGGGAAGGAGGAAACACACATCTAGGAAGGGGCACCTGCCTGGCACTGTGGGAGCGGGGGGGGGGGGGGGGGAAGACTGCCTCCACACACCTGATTGCTCTAATTAGCAACCAGCTTCATGAATAACAAACCCAGCTAAAAATATTCCCGAGGAAAGGGGAAAATGCAAGCCTATTTGTGCTGCTTGACAAGGGAGCGGATGGCTTGGGGGATGGGAGTGAAAGCAGCCAACAGGTAGGTGTGTGGCTGAAGGAGAAGACAGTAGGAATGCCCCCCAGTCCTCTTTGGGTGCCTCAAGCAGATTCTCCCCACACCTCCAGATCTCTATCCCCAACATCCCCCTTTGGTCTAACCGGTTCCTTTCCCTACCAGTTGCCTCCATGATGTTCTCCCGCTCGCATAACAAGCCAGTCATCCCATAAAGATAAATGGAGGGAAATTAGAACAGATCATTAAAGGAGGTACCCTTCACACAGCACAGGGATCACTACCACACAGTGCAGCTGTGGCCACAGATATGAATATCTTTAAAAGGGGAATGGATGAATTCATGGAGGAGAAGGTTACCAGTCATAAGGGCCATACACACACCCTTTGCCTCTGAAAATCTGTCAATGGGGAGCCCATTCAGAAAGGCAATAATGCAGTCATCTCCTTGCAAGGCATCTGGCTGGTCACTGTCTGAACAGAATCCTGAACTAGGCAGACCTCTGGCCTGATCCAATCAAGCTTTTCTTCTGTTCTTAGCACACCATCTCTTTCCAGTCCCCAGTTTTTCCCAGAACAAACCCTTTTACCTATCATATTTTCTGTTGCCATTTCACTGATTTCCTAAATCTTACTGTACTTATCCTTGTGAAACAAGTAATCCTTAGGGATAAACTACACGTGATACAGGAGACCCAGCTCCCCATGCCAATTTAAAAAAAAAGTAAATGGGACTCCATGATTGACGAGACCAGGGATTTTCTAAAAATCATTAAAAAAAAAAATCTCTCTCCACACACACACACACACACACACACACACACACGAGCAACAGCTAAATCCTTCCCCTTGAGGCTGCTACTTGCCCTTATAAGGAAAAGTCTAGCCACCCACAGGATTGCATAGGATATGCTGTCAATTTAGATTGGGAGATAGCACAAAGGAGTAGTTAATACCCTTCACAGCTACTGTGGCTTTTAATCAATTTTGGAGTTTAGAGTAAAAGGAAACAAGCCCCCAGGTGTTCTCATTGCAGCTCTCCCACATGATATGTTGTTTGGTCTCCCAACCCCATTTTACAGACTGGCTAAACAAAGGCCAAGAACATGTGAGAGAGAAAGGTTGCCTCCAGCTGCCTCCTCAGTCAAGAGATCCCCCACAGAATACTTTTCATGTTATGTGTCTCACTCTCCTGGGATGCTGCAGCAAACCAAAACCTGACTGTTACACATGGGGAAGGATCCATAAATAACATCTCCATGTGCCATCCACCAGGTAAGCAGGATCAGGGCCACAAAGCCCATAAGTCAGCTAGGTTGGCAAGCAAGATGATCAACAGCTAGAAAGCAGGCTGACAGCAATTGTTGGCTAAAACTATGTTGCTGCAAGGTCAAATCCCTGTGTATGCTTTACAAGGCTGAATTCTTCTGAGTTCCTCTGTCTGGCACAAGGGTTGGCAGAAGTTAGCTTTCCAGCTGCTTTGGACTTCAGTTCCCAGAAGCCCCTGCCAGGAAGGACAGTAGTCAAGAAAGGTGGGAGCTGATGTTCAAAGCATCCAGAGACCTCCCCCCCCGCCCCCGCCCCATTTACCATCCCTTGCTGAGGAAGGAGCAATTGTGTTGAGTAGAGCCTCTTTTAACTGGTGGGTGCCCCTCTAGAAGACAGAAGAATTTACCCTTTGTTTGCATGCCATTTTATTAAAAACTCATAATGGGAGCCACCTCCCTACAACACTATTTGCAGGGCTTAAAATGTTGTTACTAATAGCACCAATCAGCAGCTGCTTCAGTGCCATTAAAAAGCATACACTGTTTTTGTTTTTGGGGTTTTTTTTTTTTTGGAATTGTAGCCAATTGGTTTTGTCCAAGTGAAAAGGTCAGAGGGCCAATGAAGTCAAGTGGAGTGAGGGCAGTATGTCTATAGTGGAAGCATTTTCCTTGCTCTGAATTGGCTTCCTCTGCATTACATTGAGCTTTTCCAGATGGGGAGCACAACTGTCTGAATAATGCTCAGGAGCAAATCCTTGCCTGAATGGGCGCCAAAAAGAAAACATACCGCTTTACAGCTAATGCTTTAGCCCATTTCAGCCTCCCCAATCTAAACAAAACTAATCAGAAGGGAGATTCAGAAAGAGTGAAAAAGTCTGCAAGAATCCTTCCTGCCCTGCCCATTTTGATGCAGCTCTTATTACTGAACTGTTGAGATTGTCGGGATGAATGAAGAACATTGGGCTGAACGTCAGCACTGATCAACCGAGTTGCCTGATGGATGGATTAGACTGACTTTGCGTGACAAATTTAATTAGGCTGAAATTAATCGTTTGGCTGATTAGCAGAGTTGGGGACAGACTTTCTGGCTTGGGTCAGATCAGTTTGGGGAATGTCCACCTTTCTTCTGACTATGCCCCCCCCCCCGGCAAAATAGAATCCAGTTTCACTCACCGATGTGCCTTCCATGATGTCCCTCCAGAGGGGTGCATCATTGTCCCTCTCAGCAATCTCCAAGAGGTTGTCCAGAACGACTTGGCCAATGAGATCGTGTCGAGAGAAACGGTCAAAATCATAGACGCTGAAGTGAAGCTTGCGTGAGGGCAGTTCGGCAAAGGGAACATTGAAGCTAAAAGTCTCATTGAAAATGGGGTTCAGTGTCTTGCGATGCACCTTCGTCTGGAACTTCTTCTTACGGTCAGGCAGCAAGTACATTTTCACATAGGGGTCCGAGAAGCCATTGGCATCTTTGGCAGGCAGGTCCAAGGCCCGGAGAATCCGCACCACCAGTTGCTCTGTGCCGTAGGCATAGCGTAGGGCGAAGCTCAGCCGCCCGCAGCTCGGAGCCTCCCCTTTTTTGGAGTCTGACTCTCCTGAGCGCTGTTTATATAATTCCGGTTTGATTTGCCCGATGCTGGTCACTTGTTCCACCTTCTCTTCCCCTCCTACATGGACTCCAGTGTCTGAGCTGCTCAGCTGTTGGGTCACGGGACGTGGCAGTGTATTGTACCTGCAGGGAAGGAAAAAGGATAAAGCCACTGGCCTGGATAGCCAGGCCTCCAACACATCCAATAAGCAGATGAGAAATTCTCCATCCAGAGCAAAACTAGGGATGGTCTTAGACTTAATTCTACAGCAGAGCTGCAATTTTTCCTCAATTAAATGGTTATACCAACCTGGCACCCTCTAGCTGTGTTGGACTGCAACCTCTATCACCCCAGCAAGCAGGGCTATTGGCTCAGGATGATGGGAATTGGAGTCCTCTGGGTAAAATTAAATTGATTGAGAAATTTGAGCTGGATCCAACTTTGTTCATACTTAGTCAACCCAGTGGGGCTTAAGTTCAGTATAAAGATGCTTTCCATGCCCCCTCCTCAATGAGTCTACCTTTTCCCCTCCACTTTCACCAGTTACTCATGCTCTTCGTCCTCTTTCTCAGCACTGCTACCATGTCCTGCTGGGGAGGCGAGTGGGCAGTGGCATCAGCTCCTGCTTGCTATGACCATTGCCCAGACTAGGGTGAGTCAGGTGAACAAGCAAGTTGAAATTAGTCACGACTGCTTTCAGTCCCCCTGATTTCAATAGGTCTATAGTCTGATTATTTTAGAGGCATAGTTTGATTTGCTCCTGATCCTGCCTAATCTTGGAAGCTAAGCAAGGTTGGGCTTGGTTGAAATCTGGGTGGGTGACTTAAATGTTGTGAACCGCCAAGAGAGCTTCAGCTAAAGGCAATACAGAAATGTAATGTGACTTTTAAAGGTAATAATAATTTAAAATACTGCAAACACCTACAACAATTGCCAATAGTGGGTGCCAAAGAAAACAAATCCAACCCCCAAACACCCATCTCCTAAAAATAAAGCAAGAATGCTTTATTAATCAAAACCACCGATCAATTAAAAAGCCCTAAAATTAATTAAGATCTCTTTAATTAACTGACAGCCCTCATTTTTCAGCCCTTGTGGTCATTGGTATGAAGCTGGGGGTATGTGGGCAGCACCCTGTGAAAGCAAAGAAACAGGAGCAAGATTGGCCTTCAGGGAGGGGCCATAAATGGCTCTGTGGGAGAGCACCACTTTGTACCAGGAAGGGCCCCAAGTCCCCTAATTGTGGCTGGATGCTGCTAAATGGATCAAGGACTTATATCAGTGTCAAGCAGCTTTGTGTGTTCCAGTTTCTGGGCAGTCCCCTTCCCTTCCCTTCC